CGCCCTGGGCGCGGCCCTCCCGGCCCATCACCTCGCCCTGCTGTCTTCCTGCGCAGGCTTCCTGGACTGGGTCCCCAAGAAGATGCAGCGGGTGGGCTGCGTGGAGCTGCTCAACACCGTGCAGAGGCGCGTCCAGCCGCGGCTGCATGTCTTCGGCCACATCCACGAAGGTCAGCAGGAGGGGGAGCGGAGGGGACTTCACGGGCGGGGACTCCTAGCTGGCACTGCAGTGGGGTGACTGCCTCCGTCAGCCCCGGCCAGCCCTTTCTTCCCCGAGTCTTTCAGCCGGAAGGGGAAGAGCCCACTTCTGCTGTTTGCCTTGTGACTGTCATACGCGCCATCAGCTGGCCACATCCGGCCTGCCCAGTAACAGGAACATGAATACAAATTCTGCGAGATTTGGGGTGTTGTTTCTGCGAACCCTGCAACTCTGCCTTGCCTCTGGTCTTGGAAGTCTCCGGGAGATGGTTTTCAGAGGAGGGAACCTTTAGAGGGTGACACGGAGTGGGCACGCTGGTGACTTCCTGCAGGGCGGCCTGCCTGAGAGGCCTTCTGTCCCGGGGGCTGGAGCTACCTTGCAGTAGTGGGGATCGTCCTCATCACACTTTGGCGTGGGCAGGGTGGCCAGGCGGGTGAGGGTGACTTCCGCTCTGGACTTCCTGACCTGCCTACCGTGCCTGTCACTGCACACTGGTTTTTGCTGAGGCTTCCTCCCCAGAGCCTGAGGTCACCAGTTCCTCATAGGCCCTTTCTTGTGCTCCTTCTAAACACTTACCCTGCCTGTGTGAGGTCTCTCGGTGGCAGCCCTGCCAGGAGGCCTATGGGCTGCGGAGCTGTGCGGACTGTGGTGGCTTCTCCCAGAGGTATTTCTGGGCCTATAGAATCCACCCGAAGTTGCACCTGTGGGGTGCTGGGCCTCTACATGTGCCTGGTCCCCACACGCCAGGTCATTTCAGACAGCCCGAGGGTCTGTGCAGCGAGTGAGTTCTCAGCCTGACCCTGGAGACCTCACACCCTCCCGGGCGGCAGACAGGCAGTCGGAGCAGAGTCCAAAGGCTTCAGGGCCAGGACTCTGCTCTGGGCTCTGGGCTGGTGATGCTGATGCCGGCCGTCATTCGTGTTGGCCCGACTAGGTATGCGCGGGGCCGTCAGCTCTAAGGCCGTCTGTGACCCAAGCCACACCCTACGTAACTGTAGACCAGAGGGAAGTGTCCCTTCTATTGGAAATGATCTGAGCTGATGGACAAGGAGGTCTGGACAACGAGAGGTAGCGGGAAGAGGGTAGGATGAGGGAAGAGAAGATGCAGCAGTGTCAGTGAGGGGACTGTGTTGGCAAGATGATCGTGGCGATGATGGTGAAGATGGCAGTGCTGACGGTGATGGCGATTGCTTTGGGGCTGGTGGTGAGGGTGGTGCCAGGATGGTGTCGGTGAGGACAACTTGCTGCGCGCTTCCCGTGTGCGTCGGGCCGAGTGCTGCTTCTGGGTGCTGATTTCCGCTGTCGAGCAGCGGGCCTGGCAGCACGCTCATGAGCAGCCCCACTGTGCAGTCCAGGGGCTGAGCTTGAGAGCCGCAGCCGCTTGCCCTGATGTGGCCGCCCCGCTGGGACCCGGTGCCCTCTGGCTGCTTCGGCCGCCGAGACCCCCGCTGCGCAGTCAGGGGCTGATTGCCGTGTGCTTACTTCCAGGCTACGGGGTCATGGCGGATGGGACGACCACCTATGTGAACGCGTCCGCCTGCACTGTGAACTACCAGCCCGTGAATCCGCCCATAGTCATCGACTTGCCCACGCCCCGGAACTCCTGACTGTCTCCCGCTGCCCTGGCGCTGCCCGCCGGCATCAGCTGTGTCGCCTGGCCGAGCGCACGGATCCCCTGCCACGCTCCCCTCTGCGCAGAACAACCTAGACACCCCGCCTGGCCGCGGACACCAGCCCCGCGACGGGTCGAGGCCTGGAATGAAGGAAATCAATCCCCTTTGACCTTCAGCCTCCACCGCCTGCCATCGGGCCGAGTGGCCCCAGTAGGGCGTGCGCTCATTGCTGTTTCTGCCTGCACATCCGTGAGGACCTCACTGAAGGGCTCATGGCCTCTCCCGCTCGGCAATCGCCTGGATGCTCACCCCGCCCGGCTGGACACCGCTTGCTTTGGAAGCTGCTTCTCTCGGACAGGGTCTGGAAATGGTTGCACAAAATGTCTCTGTGTCCCGGGGTGCGAGGCATGGTGAGAGTTTTGCAGCTTGGGCCGGGCAGCCCTTTCTCTCCTGCTGGGCGCCCATGGCTGAGCCCTCTGAGGGAGTCGGGGACATCTCAGGAATTTGGGCCACACCTGGTAGGCCCCACAGAGGTTGGCCTTGCTCTTCCCCTTTTTTTCTTCCTGTAGACATATTTGCTGATGTGACAGTGGCCCGAGCGTCCCAGGCGTTTATTTGCCCAGAGCCTGGATTTGGGCGGTTGGTCCCACGCAATGAGCCCTCTTAGTGCCCAGAGCCCGCTGGAGGGCTGCACGTCATGGTGGATGGTGCCTGGTCCCATGGGGACCACCTGCTCTGCGGACAAGCAGCCGGGAGGGTCTGTGGACCAAGGCTGTGGCGCCACCTGTCACATGCCTGCACCCACGTGCACATACCCTCTAAGTACCGTGGGAAGCACCCGCACCTCTCGTTCCTGTTCCGTGGCAGAGTTCCCCTCCTCGGTGTGACCCTCCTGGAGAACCGGTGACAGGCAGCCCTGGGCTCCTACAGCTACACCCTGGGCAGCTTCCTTTTCAGGGGCTGGGCTCTAGGGGGAAGGAACCAGTGGGGATGTGTGAGTAGGAGGCAGGAGGCAGGGGCAGGACGGGCAAGGGCAGAGTCTGTCTTTATTTAAAATGTTGATATTTTGTCACTTTTACATTCATTTTGATTTTAACATTGCATTAAAATAGTCTTCTATCTGTCCCGATTACTGATGTTTTTGCACCCTCTTTATCTGGGTAGGGAGCAGGGCTTCGCTCCTTGTCCTGGGAAACAGGACATGTGCCCTTCCATGTGCCCTTTAAAATCTCTTTTCATCCTCTGACAGTTGTGTGAGGTTGGTACTGTTGTTCTCATTTTGGAGAGGAGGCAGCGGAGGCCAGAGAAGCATAGTAATTTGCCTGAAGGCACAAAAGGGATGGAGGCAGAATTTGAACCTTGGTCTCTGGCCTCAGAAGAGCCCTTATTCTAGTGTTCTCTTCCCTGCAGAACAGTACATGGTCCAGGACCCTTTATGTCTTGTTTTTGGAGGGTCCTATTCAAAAGCAGCTCTGGTTCCTCGAACTCTAAGGAGTCCTGAACTCTGAGCCCAGCATCCTTGCACCCTGGAGACTGGGATTTACCCCTGACTTGAGTGAGCCAGGTCACACATTCCTGGGAGCCAGGCTGCAGTGCCGTGTTGGCCAGGGATCCGGCTGGGCACCTTCACAAGGTCTCTAAGGCGATACAGATACACTCTGAGTATGGGGTAGAGAAAACACAGGACTCTTCGTGTTGCCTCTGCTCGATTTCTATGCGGACCAAGAACTATAAACTTTAAAGAATAAAATCTTTTTCCTAAGGTATCTTCAGAATATGGTGTATTTTTATGTGGAAAAGAAAAGCTATGAAGGCAGCTGTTACTTTAAGAGAAAATTCATTAAAAGTCCTTGAGGTATGAAAGATGACGGCGTGCTCCTCAATCATTTTGGCATAACTCGATTGTGGCTGTAATTTTTTTTTTTTTTTTGTCAAGCATGTCAGACAATAAAGTCTTTGTAAAAAGAAAGTGCAGTCCGCATGGCGCATCTTCCTGTGGGTGTCCCTGCGTGTCGGGTGTGGTGGAGGAGTCCTGAGTCCTGGCAGAGTCGGAGGCTCAGACCCTCCGTGCAGCCACGATGTCATCCCCGAGCCTGCAGTGACTGTGTGCGGAGAGGCCCCGGGGGTGGTGGCACAGGCAGGCTGTGTCCTGTCCTGTTCAGAGACCTCGACTGCCTGATCTCCCAAATGAATGACGTTGAGATAGCCTTCGCTCGGGTCTGTCCCTGGAAGTGACGAGTTCAACCCAGCCCTGGGAAAACAAAGGGTCCAGGCACTGCCTGAGAAAATCAATGGCAGGCACAGTGACTCCAGGCTGAAAGCTTCCTGAGCTACACAATTTCTGCCATTCATATCCATCTGTCTGTCCCTCCAGCCAACCAGCCATTCAATCACAGCCATAATTCCTTCTGTTTCTCCATCCAACTTTCCATCCATCCATCCATCCACCCTCCACACACTTATCCACTGAGTATCCATCCATTCATCCACCCACCCACCCACCTGCCCTAACAGCAATCCATCCGTGTAACCACCTGCCCACTCAGCCATCCACCTACCCATCTCTCCATGCACCTGTCTATTTATACCATAAACGCGCTCTGCGCAGTGCCCCCAGCCTGGCTGGGACCCAGGAAATGCTAGTGGTGATGGAGAAAGGTTGAGGAGGTACGACTGGCAAGAGCTGGTGTGGGCATAAGGGTGAGGCAGAGGCAGAGGTAACCCGGACATTGGCTGCCAGTCACGGAGGGGAGCGTGGGAACAGAGGGGCTCGAGGATGGATGCATAGCTCTGAATCGACCTCCTGGGTTGGTGATGACCTTGGGGGACAAAGGGGAGCATCCAGTGGCCTGGAGTGCAAATGGCCCTAGGCAGAAGGGACCTCTTCAGAGACAACAGCAAGCTGTGAAGCTGGGAGGCCTCACAGGGAGGTGTGAAGAGACAGCAGGAGCAGTGGGGAGACACAGGTGCCAGCCTCTCTGTGGCCCTCTCCTGGCCCCACCAGGGCCTCAGAGGAACCTACAGCAATCTGTCTGGGGCCTCGGCTCCTGTCTGTCTGTCTTGAGGCCGGGACTCCCAGGCAGGCGGGGCCCCTCCAAGGCTGCTGTCACCAGCATCGCTGTCACACTGCCTCTGCTGTTAGTGCACCGGGGTCCTGAGTGCTGTTTTGCAGCGCTGGGGATGGAGCCCAGGGCTGTGTGCATGCTAAGCGAGTGCTCACCGCAGGCTACATGCTCAGCCCAGGACTGGGTGGTCAAGAACTCAGCCCAGGGAGGCCAGGAGGGGGCAGGAGGGGAGCCGCTCCCGAGCCAGCGTTGCTGAGCCCCCAGCTTGGGCTCCATTGTCCCACGGAGCATCGCTCGTGAACCGCTACTTCAGAGGTAGAATTAGGAATTCTGAGAAGGAAGCCAGGCACGGTGGTCCACACCTTCTGAGCAGAGGACCCAGCCAGGCCGTGCTTTGCACTGATTCGTAGACAGTTGTGCAGCTGGAGCTGGAGCTTCCGTGTGATTCATAGCTGCCATGGAAACAAACGTCTTCCAGGGCTGTCTCATCATGACAGTCACAACTGGGAAGCACCGGGACAGACAGCACTTGCTTTGTGCCTGGTCCCCTGGCAAAGGGGAAATGGATTCCTGGAGAAAGGAGGCCAGGGGCACCAAGCTGTACTGCCACGCTGCTGAACCCGTCATCGGCAAGGGCCTGGGAGGCACTGTGTCCGGCACGCCTGGTGCTGAGTGCTCTGCTGGCGTCAGGGCTCTGAGAGCAGGGTGATAGCAACGTCTCTGCCTGTCGCTTGTGGACTTTCTGGCAAGGTACACAGTGAGGAAAGGAGGAGACAGACGCCTCAGAGATGACTAGTGAGGGGCTGAGGCTGCACTGAGTAACAGGCCCCCTGCCCTGTGGCCATGGGGGCGGGTGAGGTGACACCGAGAAGGACTCTGATCGGGTAAGAAGGAGTGAGCCTTGCTCAGAGGTGTGGGCAGGGAGAGAGGTGTCTAGTAGGGGTCCAGCAGGTGCCAAGGCCCCGGGGCAGGAGCTGGCTGAGTCTCTCCAAGAAGAACAAAGGCCATCATGGGGAATCGGAGTGGCTGAGGTGAGGTCTACAGGTCAGCGGTGACTCCTGATGACAGAGAGGGGACTTCCCAAGGCCCTGACCTTCAGTGTGCATCAGAAACCTCTTGCTGTTGAGCCTGGGGACACAGCAAGGCTTGAGCTCCACATCTGGATTGTGGGCTGATGTGCGGCCATCAGGAGCCACTGGCTGTGGCTCACGGAGGATGGTGAGGATGGTGTTGTAGTCCCACAGAGTACTTGAGGCTGAGCACTCTATAAAGTAACAAGGGTTTTTAGAGTCCAACTTCTGGAGGCCGAAATTCCAAAATTAGGGGGCCCCGTGTGTCTGGCCTCTGGTGCTCTGATCATCTCCTCTAAGCCCTGCCCTGTTGGACCACCACCGCACTCTGGGGAGCCACTCGTCCAGCTCACGAGCCTTTGAGGGACAGGGCCCATCCGACCCACAGCAGAGGCCTCAGCCGGGATGACCAGGGCCACTCGACTTCCCTCTCTGCCCTTCAGTGGCGCAGCCTAGGGGTTTTCACTGCCAGGCCAAAGGCGCAAACCGAGGGCAAGTAGAGTCCTGCTTGGGCTTTGGGGGCTTATTTTCCATTTAAAAGACAAATGGGCTTCTGGAGGACCCTCCCCAGCTCCTCCCACGAGCCACGGTACATTCCACACTGAGAAAGTAACGTGGGTGCGATTCCCGCCCCCAGCTCTAACTGGCTGGCAGCAGTTCCTGACTAACGTCCTCTTTCTGTCCCAGAAATGAATCCCGGTGTCCAGGTGGCACACAGTCCCCTCTCCCCTAAGGCTCACCGGACCTGTGTGAGCTGCTCAGTTTTTTCTTGCTTTTCGTGACCATGCACTTTCTGAGAAACGTGGTGTGTGAAGCATTTTGTAGGACGCCCTTCAGTTTGGTTTTGTCTGACCTCTTCTCACGATGTCTGTATTTAAGCTGGACAAGGAGGATCAGGCCTATAATCTCTGGGAGGCTGAGGCAAGAGGATCCCAAGCTCAAGCCCAGCTTGGGCAACTTACTGACTTAGTGAAACTGACTCAAAATACAAAATGAAAGAAAAAACAGCTGGGGAGGTAGCGTAACATGAAGGCCCTGGGTTCATTCTCCTATACTGAAAAAAAAAAAAAGAAAAAGAAAGAAAGCCAGCCAGCCACCGAGGTGGATGTGCTCGGGACAGGTGGTGCTGTGGCTCACTCCTGGTTAGTAGTGCTGCTTGCTTGGGTGAGGGATACCCCAGATTTCTCCGTGCAAAGATCTCGGTTTTCCTCTCTGCTCCAGGTCACTGGGCCTGGCTCACACTGGAGGGGAGGGGAGGGCCTGGCTTCCTCTTGGAGGATGGAGCCCCAGACAATCCGCACATCTGGGTGCTCTGAGGCCACACTGAGGCCGCAGCCGCAGTCTCAGCACCCTCCAGCCGGCCCTGCCTTCCGAAAGGATGGCTGTGGCAGCCACGGGGCGATTTTCTTCCCTTGTTATTTCCGCATTTATTACTTGGAAGTTTTCTGTAAGGAAGGTTTATCCCTTCTCTGCCACTTATTTACCTCTATCATCAGCAGCTGGCTCGTCTTATTCCTTGGTTATAATCTAACACTGTCCCAATTTATCTTGTTGCTCGAATTGTCCCAGCTCTGCCCACTGGAAGCTGCACCGGCCCTCGGCCTCCATCCTTTTGAAACACTCTCATCTTGGGTTTAGTTGGTTTCTTTCTTCTTTTCCCTCCCTCCCCTGCCCGCTTTCCTTTCCTCGTTTCTTCTCTCCCACTACTTTCTAAAATTTGATCTGGAGACAGGATCCCACGAAACTGCCCAGGATGGCCTTGAACTTGTGATCGCCTGCCTCAGGCTCCTTAGTTGCTAGGATTACAAGGTGTGCCCGACCACATCTGATTAGTTTCTTATTTTCTGGCATTACGTGATGTTGTAGGCTCACCTTGTATTTTCCCTGCCCTGGCCCTAGAATCAGCCCTTTTTGCAGAGGACCCTGGTTCCTTCTGTTTGAAAACTAAGTTCTGGTCTGGAGTCATACTGTCCTAGACACACCTGATCTCATCTGCTCTCAGAAACCAAGCAGGATTGGGATTGATGAATACTTAGATGGGAGAAACCGAGATGTGAGTAGTAAGGGTGTACTAGTTGCTACTGTCCTAGACTATTTCTGGGACAGAGCTAAGAAATATACTTAATGTGCTAACCCATTCATGTATATATTTGTCGCAGTTACTTTTTCATTGCTGAGACACAGCACCTGGCACTCACAACTGTAAAGATGAAAGATTTGTTTTTAGTTACAATTTGTAGAGGTTTCCGCCCATAGCCAGCTGGCTGTAAGGCAGGGCCACATGGCAGAGCGGCCTGGCAGAGGAGAAACAGTCCATGGCAGGGTAGGCAGGGAGCAGGGAGGGGCCAAGGGGGAAGGAGGAGATAAACCCTTCTGGGCCACGCCCACAGTGACCCACCTCTTCCCATCATGCTTTACTTCTGAACGTCACACCCAGCTATGAGCTCAGCAGGGGACCAATCCGATAAACATCACGCCCCGTGATCCAGTCACCTCTCCAGAGCCCCATCTGTGGGCTCCTAAGGCTTTGTGGGAACATCTAGAAATAAACCCTAACCATACTTATCTATCCATCTGCCCACCCATCCATCCCTTATCATCTTATCTTATCTTATCGTCGCCCCGCTCTGCAGCCTGGCCTTCCTTGCAGTTCACACCCGCATGTCTCATGGTGCAGCCTGGCTCCCGTACACCTCTGCACAGCCCCCGTAGTACTCGTGTGGCTTCAGAATGGCTACTCTTAGCTCTGTGAGACACATGGATACCAACGAGGGTACAGGGTTAGCGTGCAGGGTTTGTTTTCTCCTCTCTTTTTTCTTTTGTCTTTTACTGTACAGTCAAAACCCACTTTTCCAAAGTCAGTTCTCCTCACCCACTTAGTGAAGCCATGTCACACATTGGTACCACGGTCAGATTCTTGTGTCACGGTCTGCGTTTCACCCCAGGAACCCCTGACCTCCTGGTTGGTTTCTTGTTGGTCGGTCATCTACAGCAAGGTCCACCCTTTGTGGTGTCATTTCTGTGAGGGGTCAGATGTCCAATAGCACAGCACAATAGGGGATGGTTCTTTCATCTAGATCTCTCTCTCTCTCTCTCTCTTTCCATTTTGTTTTTTGAGATAGGGTCTCATTATGTGGTTTAGGCCAGTCTTGAACTCACTATGCAGCCCAGACCATCCTCAAACGCACATTGATCCTCCTGCCTCAGCCTCCCAAGTGCTGGAATTATAGGCGTGCACCACTGTGCCTGGCTCCAACTCTGGAACGCTCTTAATAGGGGCTTTTGTAGCTGCACTGTTTTCCAGAACAGTGCAATGCTGTTTCAATCCACCAGAAATGAATTCATTTCCTATCCTCATTGGAATTTGGTGCTATCAACTTTTAAAATTGTAGCCATCTGAGTAGGTGGGAAGCAGTTGCCTTTTGGCTTTAAATTCCATATCCATAATGACACTGAACATCTTCTCATGTGCCGGGTTGCCTTCCATGGATATTCTTTCATGAAGTATTTGCTTAGAACTTTGCCCTCTCTCCTTTAAAACAATGGGTTGTTATCAAATTTTAGGCATTGTTTATATTCTGCATACAGATCTTTTCTCCTGGTCTGTAGGTCGTCTTTTTCCTGTCTTAGTGTCTCTCTCAGAGCAAAACTTTAAAATTCTAAATCCAATTTAGCGTTCTTTTATTTTATAGATATTTTTAGTGTTGTATCTAAAACTTCATTTTCAAACTCAAAGCCATGCAGATTTTCCCTCGTGTTTTTCTTTATAAGTTTTATGTTTTGCATGCAGGTTCATAATGGATCTGGGGTTGTTTTCGTAGCACAGGTGAGGTGTAGGTTAACATTCACAGTTTTGCACATGAACATCATTGTTCCGCGAGTCACCTTTGCACATCTGACTACACTGGTGTGGTTCACTTTGGGCTCTCTGTCCTGATCCACTGATCTGTCTGTCTGTCCTTTAGGCAATGCTGTACTCTCCTGATCACTGTAACTTTTGAGTAAGTCTTGAAATCAGGTAGCCTGAGTCTTCCAATTCTATTTTTCTCTTTTGGGTCTATTTTGTCTATTCTGGTTCCTTTACTTTTCTACACACATTTTAGAATTAGCTTGTTGCTGTCTATCAGAAATTCTTGCTGAGATTTTAGTTGAGACTGCATAGACTCTACCAGTCAAATTGTGCAGGGACGTTTTAACAACTGTCTTCCAGCTCACGCACACCATTCATATCTCTATTTATTTGATGTTTTACTCTTCAGGCCCTCATAGCTTTCACTATACAGATCCTGCAGAGATGTGTTAGATCCCCAAGTGTCTTCCTGGGAGGGGCCATTATATTTGGTGCTGACTTTCAACTTTAATTCCAGTTGTTTGCTGATGGTACACAGGTAGGCGGTTAACTTTTGTATACTGACCTGGGCTGTGGTTTAGATCTAGAATGAGCCCCAAGGCTCATGTACTGAGAAGCAGGGCTTCTGGATGGTGACTGGGTCATGAGGGTGCTGTACTCATCAAAGCTAAATGGGCTGTTAGGAGGTAAGGTCCAGTTGGAAGAAGTGGGTCACTGACGCCCTGACTTGGAGGAGTGTGCCTCCCACCCCAGCTTCTTCCTTCTCCCTCTGCTTCCTGGCTGCTATGGGTGGACAGCTTCCTGGCACACACAACCTCCACCATGCGTTTCTGCCTTGGAGCCAGCCCACCATGGACTGAAACCGTGAGCCAAAATAGACCTCTCCTCCTTTACATTTCAGGTGTCAGACACTGTCTCTCAGTGATGAGGAAGTGACTGAGACATGTGGTAGCTCAGTCCTGGGGGGGTTTGGCAGGTTCTTCGAAATACCCTATGCAGGTATATGAGTGTAGATGCACTCATATCATGGAGGCTGACAATTTTTGCCAGTTTTCTTGTTGCTTTTTTTGGAGAAGGGAATTCTTTGGTGGCCCTTAATCTGCCTTTTTGGCTGATGTTATCATTATGATTCCATTTTATCTCTTATCTCCTTTACTGATTGATATATTTTTACCTTTTACAAGTATATTTATGAAATATGTTTTTAGCAGCTGCTCTATAAAAATATTTAAAAATAATTTATGTCTTCAAATAACATCACACTGTTTCCACATAGTACAAGAACCTTCTAAAAGTACAGATTTTTTCCATTCCTCCCATCACTATTGTCTTATTTTAAATGTGATCTGAACATAGTGCAGTCACACATTTTGCTTTAAACAGTTCTCTTTTAGTACTTAGGGCATAAAATATTTTATTTCACAGTCAGTTATGCTTGATGCTCACTGCTTTAATAGATCCCGATTTCTGACAATCATATTCTGCCTACAGAACTCCTTTGAACATTTCTATTAGAGTAGATCTCTGACTGTGAGTTCTTTCAGTTTTTGTGTGTCTAAAATATTCTTTATTTCGCCCAATTTTAGTTATGGAATTTTGGCTTGACAATTTTTCCCCCAGTACTCTGAAAGTCTTAGCGATAATCTCCATTGTCTTCTGGCTAGTATGGTTTCTGGTGAGAAGTCTGCTGTCGTTGTTGTCCTTATCCCCAGGTTCACAGTGTGTCTTTTTTCTCCATATGACTTTACAGTGTTTTCTTTGTCTGCAAGAGTCTAAATATGGTAGGTCTGGCTGTGCACACAAGCACGTGTGTGTGTGTGTGTGTGTGTGTGTGTGTGAACCCTGCCTGGTTCTATAAGTTTCTTTTCTTTTTGTCTAATGTCTGTAACTAATTTTGGAAAATTTGTAGCTATCATTTACTATAATATTTCTTCTTCCCTATGCTCCCTTTTTTCCCTCCCTTGTGCCCAGTCACGTGTCTACGTCAGACCATTTCATATTGTCCCATGGCTCAGGTATTGCTATTTTTTTCTTCCTTTTCTGTGTTTCAGTCTGGGTTCCTGCTACTGACTTGTTTCCAAGTTCACAGGTTCTTCCTTTGGTTGTGTTAATTCCAGTGAGTCTGTCAAAGACACTCTACATTTTTGTTGCAATGGTTTGAAGCATTTCCACTTGATTTCTTATAGTTTCATCTACACTAAAATTTCCTATCGGATCATATGTGTTGTCTTCCTTTTCCATTACAGCTTTAACAGATACATCTGTTATTTTAAATTTCTTTTCTGATGGTTCCAGGACGTCACATCTGAGCCTGATTCTTATGATTGCTTTTGCTCTACAGACTATGTTTTCAAAAAATTGCCTTTGGTATGTATGCATGATTTTTTTTTAATTGAAAGCTGGACTTTGCTTTTTGAAGACAGTGTATCACCATACAGCCTAAGCTGGACTTGAGCTTGTGATCCTCCTTTGTCAGTTTCCAAGTGTTTGAAAAAGCTGGATATTTGTGTATAGCAGGGCCCAGCAAACTTGCCCTATAAGGAGTCAGAGAGTAAATACTTTTGGGATTTGTGGGCTACCTGTCGTCACTTGCTTTTTCTTCCTCCTTCTTCTGCTCTTAAAAAATGATGGATTCACAAGGCTGCTGAATGGTACCAGGCTGTGTCTCAGCCTCAGGAAGCTGGAGAGACTGCCTGGGAGAAGTAACTTTCGATTGAGTTTTAAAGGAAAAGTTGGTACATCCTGAGGGGCAGATGTGTGTCAGTGGGGAAGCACAATCCCAGCAAATGCCGGGACCAGGGCACACGGGCAGGACACAAGCCCACCCTTCACCCCTTACACCCATCCTCCACCACGCATTTGGATAGGTTAGGAAGGCACTTTCTTCTTCTGCAAGCTTAGTAATGAACTTGTAATTTCTGGGGTGTAAGGACAGTTGGCAGATACCAAAGTGCTTTCCAGAGCTCACTTGAAGCCCAGCATCACCTGATTTTTGTTGTCAATCTAACAGCGCCAAAATGAAATAATCACAGTGTAGCACTAATTACTAGACATAATTACAGCTCTTCGTTATAATAACCCGACCTCCAGTGGTGGCCGGTGGCTCTGGCCTGCTGGCCTCTGGGGAGACACCAGGCCCTACCCTACAGTGGTGGCAGATAAGGTGACGAAAATGTCACACGGCAGGGTCCTCAGTTGCACATGATTTGGTTAGATACAAATCTCCAGAATTACAAAGAGTGCAGGTGTCCCAGTGTGAGTCGATTATGGAGAAAGCTGAGGTGAAAGAGGAATTCCCAGCCCTGTCACTGCCCGAGGAACCAGACAGAGTGGAAAGAGCAGCAGCCGTGTCAGACCTTTCTGGCATTCAGAGGATGAGGCCCTTTCAGTGGCCTTGGGAGGGCTGAGCCCAGAGCCTGGATTGTCTGAGGTATGAGGTATTCTCTGGGGGTCAGGCTGGCCAGTGACAGAGGAGGGACAGCTAGCGGTGTCCCCAGGACAGAGATGCACCATGAAGACAGTGAAACGGGTTGCAGAAGTCTGTCCTGTGCTCCAGGATGGGGACATTGGTGGGTAAAGGAGGTGACAGCCCCTGGGAGGATGGAGCAGAGGCCTGACAGGCAGCCAGGAATACAGTTCCCAGAAATCCCCAAGTTCCTAAATATTTTATCATTAGTAGTTAAGTGTCAAAGAATCATTCCTGCAAAGATTATTTTATTTGTTCAAACTAATGAGGTTGCCCAAGCCCAGCAGGGCCTCCTGGTGGCAGTGGAGAAAGGAGTTTGGACTCGCAGGCTGGGCTGGTGTCTGCTCTGCAGACGCGCTGGGAAATTTATCAGACCCCTTGGTTCTATGGCTTGGTTAGTTGCAGAGACAGATGGGGCCCGTCTGTTGTTGGGGTGTGCTTCGGCTGTGCCTACTGCAGGAAAGCCCGGAGGAAGTCGTTGTAGGCGACCTTGGAGGACAGCGACTTGTCGTAGTACTCGAGCAGGTGGAAGAACTCCTCCTCAGAGAGGTTGATGCTGAACTGCCTCAGCACCTGGGGACAGAGGAGGACCGGGGCTCCCAGGCAGGGCAGGGCTGTGCCTTGCTGTGCCCTGCCCACTGCGGCCCCCAGGTACCAGCCTGCAGCTCTGAGGGTTGGGAAGCAGCCCCAGGGCATCTGGGTGAGACTGCAGGACAAGTAGGAGTCACTGTCCCCCCGTTCCCACTGGCCTATGCAGACCAAAGGTGATACCTGATGGCTTCCCGGCAGGACCTGAGGGCTGCCAGCAAGGAGGGGCTGCAGGAGACCCCAGCACGGTGGGGTCCCCGGCAGAGCCGATCAGGACAGCTGACCCACAGGTGTAGAGTCTCGATGACATGAGAGCAGTCAGTGCAGCCCACGGTCCCCAAATAACCTGCTCTATGCTGCCCTCCCCCATGCCCCCAGGAGCAGCTAACGCAGCCTGTCCACTTCACCTGGCCGGGAAGCAAAGGCAAAAGGATACCTTGTGGTGGGCCTGTGTTAAGACAGCTGACTCAGAGGTTTTGGCCACTGAGAGCCTGGCCTGGGCTCAGCCTGGCCTGCGGGGCAGCCTGTGTGCTGCAGGGCCGGGCTCACTGCGCCCACAGCAGGGCCACTCTGCTCTTTGGGGTTTGCAATGAGACTCAAGGTAGAGGCTTGGACAGGGCTCGGGATCAAGGTCCAGGGTGGCCAGGGGCCTGGGTGGGTACAGTGCTTGCAAGGCCTCTAGAGAAGCTGGGCCAGCAGTGCCTGTGGGTGGGATTTGGGGGGCACAGAAGTCACTGGACACGTTAGGGAGGGGACTGGAATCGCAGGCAAGGCAGACGTGGCCCTGACAACTCGGGGGCCTTGAGGAGGTGCAGGGCCCCTCAGTGGGGCTCACCTTCCTGAAGTTGTCGGTGCTCAGGAACCCCGTCCCGCCCTTGTCGTAGGCCTTGAACATGCGCCGCATGGGCCTCCAGCAGTGCAGGATCTTGGGCTGGATGCGCAGCAGAGCTGCATAGAAGGAGGATGTCTCGGCGCCAGCTTCTTTCTAGGAGACAGAGCGGGAGGAGCCTGGGAACCGGAAGGTGGGTGTGTGGCCCAGTGGCGAGCATAAGTGAGCTACAAAATCGCTTCCTCTGTGTGCAAGGACCCTGGGTGGTCCATGCAGACACAGCCTCCTTCCACACCTGGAAGGAGGGGGTCCCTGACCCCATTTCACAGATTTCGGAACAGAGGCTCATCCTGGCAAGCTCTGACCCCAGCATACAGCTGGCCATGCCTGGCCAATTTCAATGTACTTTGAGAAGAGAGAGAGAGAGAGAGGGAGAGGGAGAGGAGAGATTGATTCCATTCTGGGTCTTCTGGTAGGTTATTATAACGAAGAGTGTTTAAAAAAATCGCCAAGGTTGTAATTATATCTCGTAATTAGATAGTGCTACACTGTGATTATTTCATTTTGGTGCTATTAGATCGAAAGCAGGATATTTTAGCATGAGTTGGCCCCAACACATGTCTGAATATCACAGAGGTGAATGGTAGGCAGTAACATGTAACACATTTTGGGGGAGTTTCATTTTAACATGGTGCTACATAAAACAAATTAGCACTGAGTTAAATTGCTTTCAATTTTGATATCATTTAGCACCTATGATGGAAACTCCCCAGACATGCCGGAGCTCTGTGAGCTGCCAATCTGCCCAACAGGGGGGTCCGCAGGCTGGAGACAAGAGGGTTCTTGGCTCTCCCCACTCTGGTTCCCACTGCGTCTGGTGCTGCCAGCCCCACCCAGGCCCTCCGGGGTGACCCTAGCACTGCAACAAACCTCAGTGCCCAAGCCATGCCCCCAAAGGACACCTTCCTGCTGCTGACATGTCACGGAGAAGACTCCCAAACGGCCAGACAACAAAACCTTTTTGCTTCTCTGCAGGGGGACTTGCAGCATGAGCACCACTCTTGTGCAGTGGAGGCCTCAGTAGCTGCCTGAGGGACAGGGGTCACGACCAGAGCCACTGGGGCTGTTTCCTGGGAGGCCATGAGAACAAGGAGGAGTGCTCGGGCTCCACGTGCCTCCTCATGTTTGTGGGCCCCGCGAAGCTCTGTCAGAGGCAGTGTCTTTCCCGTTCATGGAGGAACTGAGCCAGCCCAGGAATCGCCTTGACTTCACATTGTTCACACTTCGGTTGTGAACTTGTCCCCTGACAAGACTTTGCCACCGGCTCTTGCTTGGCTGTGCTGGAAGCTATGTCAGGGTGTTTCCTGATTTTTGCACATTACAGATCCAGCTGAGTAGAGACCTTCTGCGTGGACTCTGCTCACCTGTGTGTGGGATGAACCCACACACTCCCACACCTCCGGTGCCCGCAGCTGGGATCAGCCGTGTGTTTCTGAGTCCACAGTGCCGGTTGCACTTGCTATTTGATGGAGCTTAGTTTAACACTATAGATAGAAGACGAGCTTGACATCTATTTTCTGACTTCATGTTTGGTCTGATTTTGTTTCTTGAGCCCGGGTCTCAATATTACTTCAGGCTGGCCTCGAGTGCATGTTTTGGAGAGACTGGAGCAAGACACGTAGTGACAGCACAGGGGATGCGTGAGATGTGAGCTTCCGAAGGTCAGGTCCAGAAGACCCTCGGCCTCTTGCTGCTATCTCTACAACTTTAGATCTTTGTCCCTCTCTGAAGAAACTGGAAAGGGAAGTCCCTCTGACCCCACGCCACACTCCAACGAGGTCTCCTGCCCATCTCAGGATGAAATGGGTGCATTCTGTGTCAAAATGCGCGAGTCTGCCATGATGCCCCCCTACACACACACACACGCACACACACACACACACCACTCTGCCTCTTACGTTAACTTGGAGGGTGTTATGTGAATGGCTGACACCACGTCTGCCCTTCTGATGTTTCCACTACTCTGAGAAGAGCCACCAGAAGCAGGTGTCTCCAGACTCAGGGTTCCAAGGGAGAGAAAGGAAATCTCTTAACTTACTCCCAAGAAAGTACATTTCTGAGCTGTCTTCAGTATCCCCGGAGCCTGCCGGAGCCCTCATTAACCCCTGGCCCTGGCTCCAGGTGCCAGTCCGGACGCGCAGAGCCCGCAGACTTCTGCTGCCTTCCCACACCCGTGAGTTGGGGAGGAAACGGGGACAAGGCTCTGCCAGGCAGGGCTCGTGAGATGTGGAGGACCGGCAGCAGGGCAGGGAAACAGGGATGTGCCGTGGTGACAAACTGAGAACACGGCCCCCGTCACCCACCGCGGTACCGGGGGATGCCACGTACCATCTTGTGTGCGTTCTGGATCTTCATGCGCTGCGTCAGCGAGGTCTCCCTGGCCCCGAGCAGGAGCACACAGCTCTGGATGAAGTCGCAGTAGGCAAACGTGCCATTGTTCCTCAGGTCGTACTTCGCGAGGAGCTGCTGGCGCTCCCCGACGCTCACATCCAGGCGGAACTTGTGCACGAGCTCTGCGGAGGAAGGGAGCGCGTCGGCTGCGCACGGCTGCGCACCCTTCGCTCTGCCGCGGGCCCGGCTCATCCCACCCTGCAGAGCCCGGGGCGGCTAGACACAGACACACAGTGAACTGTCACGGGGAGGGGTCCCTGTATCCTGCCGGCCCATGCTGTCCCGGTCATGGCGCTCCCCGACGCTCACATCCAGGCGGAACTTGTGCACGAGCTCTGCGGAGGAAGGGAGCGCGTCGGCTGCGCACGGCTGCGCACCCTTCGCTCTGCCGCGGGCCCGGCTCATCCCACCCTGCAGAGCCCGGGGCGGCTAGACACAGACACACAGTGAACTGTCACGGGGAGGGGTCCCTGTATCCTGCCGGCCCATGCTGTCCCGGTCACCAGAGCTACGGTCACAGATGAAGACCGCAGGAGCCAGGATGAGAGGGGGAGCCACGGTTCCCAAAGGACAGAAGCTGGACACAGGGGCCAGGGGTTGCCTGGCAGGGGCCGGGCAGTGAGGACAGCATTCAGACTCAGCCTGCTGACCTCATACCTTCCGACTGTGCAGTGGGGACATGCTTTGGAGAGTCAGGCTGCGGGCGCGGGTGCATGTGTCAGCTTTCATTCCAGTGACACCTGTGATCTGTAAACCTGGCTGGAGCGTGGGAACCCCTGAGAGCCCACTGCGGTGTCAGGGTTTCAGCCTGGCTTTCTGACGGGAGTCATGTCGATGCCGTCGGGGGCTGGCATATCTTAATGCCAGATATCAGCATCCACCCCACTCCTACCCCCTCGGTACCAGTACTTGTGCGCAGTTACCGTCCCAGTCATAAAGACAGGGCTGGGTTTGGAGGGACAGCTCATGTTCAAAAGAGACTTGAGTAGGATAAGATTTTAGTGCAATGCACTGAGGCTTTGATTTGACATCGTGAAAGAACACAGCTCCAAGGCTGGAGGGGAGGCTGACAGGGAAGTAGGCACAGGACAAAGGATGTCACTGTGCACTGTGGAAATGAGGGTCTCTGCTGTGCACAAATAGGGACGGCAGATCTCAGGGCCAGTGGGACTGACGGAGCCCACAGGACCCAAGACATCCGTCTGGCACACCCCTCTGCAAGGTGGATAACGCAGGAGGACTTGAAAGCTTGTAACGTTTTCTAGTGTTGAATTTTGAATGCTACTAAAGTCTGGCAAGCCCACCAGAACAATGGGTAGGTGATTCACACGACATCAGTGTGAGAAAGAAAAGAGCAAGAAGAACAGGAACAGCAGCACAAGTTAAGGTCAGACAAGTGGAACTCACATGGGCATTAAAACCAACCCTGCTGACCTCTCTCTGGCCAAAGCGCAGCTGATGGGACACCGCTTGGTTACCTCTGAATCCATGTCTCTGTATTCATTTTTTTAGCATTTTTATAGGAGCAGTTAGAGAGTATAGAGCCTGTTTTGTTTGTGTCTTTTTAGCCATGTAAGTTAGGATGAAGTCATTTTTATCAGTATTGGAGGATCCCAAGGAAAACAGGAGCAGAGGGAGGTAAGCAGGTGTTCAGCAGAGGGATGTGGCCCAATCCGTGTTGCTGTAGTGTAAAATGTTCCACAAACAATGAGCAGTGATTAGTGGGAGTTTACATCCAACTGGTTTCATTTTAAAAGCCTAGCAAAGTGATCAGAAAAGAAAAAAAAAACACCCAAAAGAAGGTGCTAATGTGGGTGGAGCCTCAGGAGTGTCCACCCACCCTCCTCTACCCTCTATCTGTCCCATCTGCATCACCCACGGCTTGAGTTCCCACCTGTCACCTGCTCTCTTCCACCCGGCCCCCTCCCTCCACTGTCACGGTCTGGGGACATCCACATTCTCCTGGTGACCACAAGAAAGCCCGCTGTCCAGTGCGGAGAGTCTGACATGTGGGTGTCACAGCCTCCTGCCTCCATCCCGACAGCACAGGTCTGCTGATCTGCCATACCCGCGCCTCCATCCGAGTGTGAGGCTGCGCCGGGTGAGAATGGCTTTCTGCAGGCAGGGGTGGTAAGGTGGCACAGGGCATGGAACCGCACAAACCCAGGAAGTCAGGCGCAGTGATGGTCCCCAGCCTTCCCACGTCCTTCTCCTTGCACTCCTGTAGCAGCTCCCGCCAGCAGCCCTGAACCTGCTTCCGGAGCCGGCTCTCGATGGGCTCATAGTTCTGCAGTGATGGGGTGCCTGCCGGGGTCTGGGGGAGGGACAGAGGTCTTTTCACGTGAGGTTCCCAGGGCACACAATGACAGAAGTGCAAGCAGGACTCGGGGCTTGGAGTTTGCAGGATCACAGCCCGTCTGAGCTCAGAGGGAAGGTGGAAAATAGAATGGAGACACACTCTTACAATTTAGCTTGCGTTTCCATCAGTGGGGCAGGTCTGAATATTCAAAACGGTTTTGGACATAAATACATAGCCAGGGTCGAAGTGTCAGTGTTGCAGGCTGTGTGCATGCGTGTGACATGCGTGCAGGCAGTGCGTGTGAAGTGGCATGGTTTTCACTTAAGGAAGGGTCTTATCAAAGACAGGGATCTGTTCAGCATCTGCACAAGGCATCCAATCCTGGAAACACAGAATGTCCATTATTTTGAAATTATGGGGACCTTCATTGTATTTTCCATTTCAAAGGAGCTGTTCAGTCCGGGCCAGACCTTCTCCTGACAGGAGAAGACCTCCCTCAACAGGTGTGAATCAGTACAGTACCAAGCCCACGAAGCAGACCCCAGGGTTTCCCCCTGGTTCCCCTCAACCCGGGCCTGGTGTCCGAGTAGATAGCCGCACCCTTCCTCAGCTGCTCACACCAGACTTCCATGTTCCCCTGCTGACCCCACCTCTCCACCCTAACCCAATCTATCGGGAACCCTCTTGGCCTTGTTGGGGAGATGCATCCAGGGTCAGGCCCCTCCCCAGCTGCCTGCCAGCACCCTGATACCAACCCTATGGCCTCTGGATTGGGCATAGCCATCTTCCTCCCTGCTCGTTTCTGCTTGTCCCTCCCGTGTCCAGTGTAGTCTCCAGAGTCCCTCAGCCCATGTCCCTCTGCTGCCCAGGGGACACTAGAACATGTCCTGCTGCAGTCCTGGAGCTCAGAAGTATGAGAGGGTCTTGCTGAGCTAAAATCAAGGTGCCTGGATTCCTCTGTAGCTCTCACACTACTTGGCTGGTGGCGCCTCCATCAAAGTCAGCAGCGTCAGGTGGGCCTTTCTCAAATCGCTGCTCTCTGGGCCTGATTCCCCAAGTAAAGACTCTCATGATCCCCCTGAGCCGGCTGGATCCACCTGGGCAACCTGTCTTCCAAAGCCAGCTGCCCAGTGGCTAATTCCCTCTGCAAACTGAGGCCCCTCCCAGCACGGTGACACCCTTGCAGATCCCAAGGATCGGGGTGCAGACACTGTGCAGGCCCTTTGCTGTGGATCCCTGGAGGCACCTGTCACATGGCAGTGATTCTATACTGCACAAGCGCCCACGTGACCCGTGACATCTCTGAGGGCCGCTGTGCCCCGGGCACCATGACGGCGGCACGGTGTGTGCGGGGACGCATTCTTCCACCCTTCATCCCTGGACACGTGCCAGCCTGGGCACCTCCCTCTTGTCCCGGCCCCGCCTTCCCCCTCTGCGCCTCCCCCTCCTCCTCGCCCACCCCTCCATTCCCTCACCTCCACCCCTCCCAGAGAAGCAGCCGCTGAGCCCCCCAGCCCGTGACTTTCATGCTGTGCCCAGGGGAGGTTTGTGGGTCTGCTGTGAGATGGTGTGGGGGGCTGGGCGGGGTGCACACTCACACAGGGGTGACTCCGCGACTTCAAGCCTGCCCTCGGGTCGTGTGTGGATGGGGAGACGGCAGACGACCGGGTTCCCTCCGAGATCTCGGGGACGCTGCTCCCCCTCTGGGCCCGGGCCGAGTCGCCCGTGGCTGGCGGTGTGGCTGCCCTCTCCGGGCCGAACCTGCTCAGGAATTCCTGGTACTTCAGCCTCCCCTTGTCATTCACGGGCATCTTGCTCCACAGCCTATCAAACTGGGAGAAGCAGAAGGCATCCCGAGTGTCAGCACGGACCCGGCAGGAATCCCAGAGCCCCCACCTGCGAGGTGGGGCCGTGCTCGCGGTATTGGCAGGGGCTGAGGCCTGTGAGATGAAAAAATTACAAAAGGAACAAAATAAGCCCATTTGGCCTGTGCTCGGTGGAAGCCTCTGGAAGACTGGAAGAGCCAAGGCAAGAGGATTATTCATGGCTTCCGCAGGACATTTTTTAATTGAATTGGGCCCTTCGTGAGCCATTTAAGGCCATTAAATCTTGTGATTAGTCACAGTGACTGAGCCACAGTGTATGAAAACATTTTAGGAGAAAATGCAAATCAAAGTCCTGGCCCACCTTCGTCCCAGGGAAGCCACATCTGACTCATTTCTTTTCCTTCCCCTACACCTGACTTCGGCAAACAGCTCACCAGGTGACTCTGCCTCAGCCACCGAATTTGCATCCACAATTTATTTCACCCTCGGGGCCAAGAATGTCTTCTTGCGAGATGAAAAGGGAGCGTTTGGAAATCCGGAGAGAAGTTTATGGCTTCGTGTTGTTGCTATCAACGCCACAGACTGTATCGGGACCACACACGGCATCAGGAGCACCAGGCGTCCTAAATGAGCCACTTCTGATGAGCTGAGGGCTTTCGGGGAGCCAGGAAGCATGGGAACTTGCTTCCAATTCGATTTTGTGCACAGCCCTAGAGCCTGGTAGAGCCCGGGGATTCAGCACAGGCTGAGGGAGAACCAGCCGGGGACAGAGGGGAGGAAAGATGGGGTTCAGGCTCCGCCTTTCCCTTTTCTATCCAAGCTCCAGCCCCTGGCCCTCAAGGCCAGGCTAGGTCAGAAACTGAGTTTGCTTGTGCGTCTCCACCGAGTTTTTCCAAAAGCAAGCTATAAGCGAGAATCTCTAGCTGTGCGTGAACCCCACGTTCCTTTTGGCCTCCACACCAGCCCTAAGCTGCCCACTGCCACCTGACCTGTAGGTCCCCGGACAGGTGACGTTCGGTGTGGGACTCACGGATGGCTGCCACCACGGCAAGCACATTTGCACCAGAGGTCGGTGGTGGGGAGGTTAGAGAGGATTCCGAATCCTGGTTTAGGAGGAGGGTGGAGGGTTTTGCAACTTTAGAACTTATAGGAAAATAAGAAGTATGTTGAGAATGCAAAAGATTCTACCAAAAAAGGTCGAAATGAGATGCACAGAGTCACGGTTTCAGATACCAAAAGGTCCCCCCTAGTGCTCTGCTGAACGGCCCCACTTCGACACAGGCCACTGGAACCCAGAGCTTCTGAGCACCTGCCCACTGCGGTCACCTGCCCACTGTGTCCAGGTGGAGCCTCGTCCCTGAGCCCAGCCGCTGCTTCTGCTTTGGAGCTGTGCCTAGGAATCCCCCACTGCCGGCAAAGCCTGGAGCCTCGAGTGCTTCTCGGAGACACTGGGTACGAACTGAAGCTGCTCTGCTCGCCCTCCTCCTCCTCCCCTGGCCTCCTCCTGCTGTTGGTCCTCCTGCTGCTCTTCCTCCTGCTCCTTTCCCCTCCTCTCCTGCAGGGCCTGGAGGTGGGGCAAATCCTCCTGCCTCTGCCCCGCACCTGGGTCTCACAGGCCCTTTCTCCTCCTTACCCCGCCTCTGTTTCTGGAAAATGTTGCGTCCCTGTAGACGGGCGGTGGATGCCACCAGATCCTCGATTTCTCAGTGCCTGGCCTCATTGCAGCCACACACAGGATGTCACCGGTGTGTCCCTCCTGGAAATCTCAGTCATCAACACTCCCCTCTTTGGCCAACACTGTATCCCTCTCCACTGCCCCACACCATCTGCACTGCTTTGCTCACTCTCCTTATGGCCTTGTTCCCCGGTCCTCACTGCGCTCTAAAGAAGCTGAAATTCCACACGATGACTTTTGCTTTTCCTGCCTGGGCCCCTCCCTGCCCTGACTCACCTGGCAAAGTGGCCAGTGTCCCTACGCACAATAGTAACGAGAGAGTAGTCAGTGTCTCTCAGAATTTCCTTGGGTTAAATTCAACCAAATATCAGCCCATAATGAAATGAAAACTACCGAATACATGCAGAAGCAAGTCACCAGGGACATGGGTTGGCCAAGACCATAAGATCCTCATGACCTGGGGGGAGGTAAGGGGTGAGGCTTTCTTCATCAGAACACAGAGAGGTGGCCGAATGAAACTCAAACCCGCCTGCTCTGTCTTACATGGGCTCTGGGCTCAGACCTCATTTCCCACCCCACTACCTGGCTGCTGGGTGTTCACTCCCAGGCCTCCTGGTTACAGAGCAACCTCTCCCCTGCCCCCAAACACACGCCCCAGCTCCCTACCCTTTCCAGCAAACCTGCCCGTTTTTGTTTTGCCTCTAGAGCGTCACTTCTAAGAAAACCCCCAGAGAAGGCAGATCCCAGGAGGGCAGCTATTGATCTGTTTTTCACACTGGCTGCACACTCACAGCTCCTGCGGCTGGAACGTCCCCTCTGCTGCTTTCCTGTCTCTAGGAACCCAACATCCGGGAAGCCGCTTGCCCTCCACCCAGGTATGCCTGTCATGGCCTCGCTGGTACAGCCACGTCAGGGCAGGCAGCAGCCTGCAGCTCGTGAGTACCATAACCCTCGAGTTTCGTGTCCCCAGCCCCACATGCACCTGTGGGCCCCTTATCTGGACACAGGCTGTCTCTGGGCGCTCCCTCATTGCCAAGACATGTGGCCACGTGCCTGACAACTTGCAGGTGTCCCAAGTGTTCAGCCAGAGGAGGCAGAGCTCAAGGTGAGGAGAGGGTTAGGCTGAAGTTGAGCGCGGGTGGACAGAAGGGGCCTGGAGAGCCTGGGGATGACCAGGTGTCCCCACTCCCTGGGGAAGACACTTGCTCAGAGAGGTGCAGCAACTTGCCCAAGGCCACTGGTGGGGGAAGGGCTTTGTTCTCCTGGAGCAATTTTCTCACTGCCTGGGGTGTCTGCTTGGAAAACAAATCCAAAGTGTTTAACAACTCCTTTCCTAAGTGGCTGCATAGAAGAGTTTGCACGCAACACTGTGGACTGATCTGCAACAGCCTCGGAAGGACAGGCACCACCGTGAGGGGACCGGGTTCCAACAGCCCATTATGGCCCACTTTCCACACAGCTGTGAAGACGCCGCAGTCCTCACCATCTGCCCAGGACGAGGGCTTGGGCATATCACAAGGACAAATTCATTGTGTCATACTTTAACGGACACTGTGCCTTCCACCAAGGAGGTTGCTATGGTCATAATTAGATGTTTCGGGAAGGCCCGGGGCACTCATAGGTGGGGCTTTTGGAAAGTGCCCTGATCGCGGGGCGTGGCCCACTTGCTCCTAGGAGGCGGGGTCTGGGTGGAGGTGGGTCACTGTGGGCGTGGCCTGGAAGGGTTCCGCTTCCTCCCCGGCTCCTCCCCGCACTGCCTCAGCCTCATGCCTGCCATGCCCTGAGCGACTTTCCTCTGCCATGCCCTCTTGCCTTGGAGCTAGCCAACTACGGACTAAAACATGAGTCAAAATAGACCTCTCTTCCTTTAACCTGGGAGTGCTGGGTATTTTGTCCCAGCAGGGAGGGAAGTGATGAAGACAAAAGTTATTGGCACAGTAACTCACACAGGAAAAAAAAAACCCTATGGGTCTCTGGGGCAAAGCAACCTTCTCCATCAGGGCTCGATTTCTGCTAATCACCCCCCAATTCGAACTACGGGGCACTTATGCCAGCGTCTGATCCTTAGGCAATGTGGACTGTATTTGAGATGTATGAACTTAGTTTTAGGAAAGATAATTTAAACCTAAGTGCTTAATTTTGTTGGGAAGGGCTTGATTGCTGAGGATGATGAAGATTTTTCAGTGGAAAATTAAAACCAGAGTCTCTGTTATGAATGCGAGGTGTGTCAGCACATCATTAATTTATATCAATAATTAGAGTGAACATTTGTTCAATTAGATGAAATGAAAAAATTGTCATTAGTAAAATTTTTAAAAAGATATTTATTTATTTATTTATTTTTGGTGGCGGGGATTGAACTCAGGTCTGAGCTAAATCCCTGGCCCCAGTAAAACTTTTATCAGTTGGCACCATGGAATAAAAAATGTGACTCCATTCATTTTAGAGGCTCATTTTCGTCTATGCTGTGTGCAAAGGCAGAGCTTGCTTGCCTTTGATGCTCTGTGCAGAGAAGTGTTTAGAAGTAGCACTTCATTTCACTTGGGAATAAGACACGTAACTTTGGAAAAGTGAAGCCACACTAGCAGAGTGCGAAGGTTCATATCCGGGAGGCTTGTGGACTCAGGGGTGGGGCTGGTGGACTGTAAATGGGTTATAGGGGTGCTACAGCTTGCTTGGTGTTGGAAGGCAGGGTCCGGTTGGAACTGGCGGGTCACCGAAGGCACGGCCTGGAAGACCACATCTCCCTCCCTGGTCCTCTCTCTGCTCCCTGCCTCCTGGCCACCATGAGGTCAGCAGCTCTCCTCTTTCCAGTCCCTTCCACTATTCCTTCTTGCCTTGGAGCCAGCTAACTATGGACTGAAAATTTGAGCCAAATTAAATCTCTTCCTGTAAATGTGGGTGTCCGGTACTGTGTCCCTGTGAAAAGAAGGTGACTAAGACATGGTGTCTTTAAGAGTACATTCTTCTGGGCAGTGGGGTCTGAAACTCTGGAGGTGAAAGGGACAGGCTTCCACCTGGATATGCAGGGACAGCCCTCGGCTGGGCCTGAGCAGGACCCAGAGGGAGGAGGAGATGCTGTCTTGTTCTTTAAGATCTCCTCTTGTCTGAATTATTCTCTGGGAATGGGTGTTGACCTGCTGGAGAACAGGACTGGCTGGTAGCAGAGCATTTCCTGGGGCAAAGGGACCAGGTGCACTGTCGGCTGTTCAGCACTGAGCTGTGTGCATGGGGGGTGGGTCTGGGGCAGGCAGGCGTCCCTCAGCAGGACCCCATCCATTGACGGGCACCCACTGTGCCAGGCATTGTTATGCATGTGATGCAGCCCAGTGTGACCATGGCTGGATGTCGGTAAGCACAGGCCCCTCCCGAGGTGCTTCCTCTCATAGCAGGGGCTGCAGGGCAGACCCTGGGATACCACCTGCCTTGGGAGGCTGTGCAGGACTGAGCGGGGAGGGCAGCATGTTGCCAGGGCCCTCGCGCTCCAATGAGCCCCACTCAGTCCTTGGGGGGAGGAGGACAGTGGGGAAGCTCTGGGAGTTCTGAGATGCACAGAGGACCCCGGAGAGGAAAGGGCTGTGTTCAGCATCCGAGGGGCTCCCTGGGGCGGGCAGATCCCCAGCATGCAGAGCAGCAGCCCTGGAACAGCAAGAGTAGAGGACAGAGAGCATCAGGAACACAACGGTCCATGGCCCCTGCTGGGGCACGGGGGACCCTGGCCACCCTCTGTGGCTCACACAGGCCCCGGATGATGGGAAGAAAAGGCGGTGGGGGCTGGAGCTGAGTTCAATTTGCTTTTCAAAGTCAAAGGGACATTTTTCACACTCTGGTTGAGATGGTGTGATTCACAGCTGTCACCTAGCAGAAGGCTCCCGAGAATCCTCCAGAAGATTGGAAAACAAAACAAAGCCCGGCATCATGGTGCACACTCCTAATTTCAGCACCTGGGAGGCTGAGGCAGGAGGACAGTGAGTTAAGAGGCCAGCATGGACTATATCAGTGAGAACCTATCTTAAAACAAAAGTAAATAAAACCTTGAGTATTTTTTAAAAATAGAGAGCATGGCTGGGCGTGGTGGCACACACCTGTAATCCCAGAACTCGGGAGGCTGAGGCAGAAGGATCCCCGTGAGTTCGAGACCAGCCTGGGCTACATAGTGAGTTCCAGGTCAGTCTCAACGACATGTTGAGACCCTGTTTCAAAAAACTGAAAAAAATAAATAAATAAAAATAGACAGCATGCCCTGTGCTCTGGGGACTGGAAGCTTGGGGTGCCCCTGACACTGCCTAGGAGGAAAAAGCCAAGCTAGTGTTTTCTTACTTGCTTGTCCGTCAGGATTTGCACATGGCGGGTGCAGATGGCCCTGAACTCATCTCTGGAGGCTGTGTTGGTTTTGTTGGTGTCAAAGTTCTCGAACTCCTGGGCGATGGCATGGTAGTGGGAAGTCACAGCCTTGTGGAGACGCGCCAGCAGGTCTCTGTTGGCCACTTCTTGGGGAGATGCAGGCGGTGGGACTCTGGGCATTTTCCCGGCCCACTCATCAGCAGTCTGTACCAAACAGAAGGGGAATGGTTCCACTGAATAAAGGGTGAATACCTCCTGGCTCTGGGCCTCACACCCAGGGCACTTCCCAGGGAGGCCCAGGGCAGAGAAGCCAAACACAACAGCATCACAGATGTGGGCCTGAAACAGCTTCCCCAGCAGGCCACACGTGGTCCCAGGAGGCGATGCCGAGCCTTGGGCCTGTCCCGTCCTTTGGTTCATTTAACAAACACTCAGTGTGCATCTGCTCTGCGCGGCCAGGGAGTCTACAGGGCTGTGCATTTAGACCACTTTCATTTCAGGATGTGAATTTCGTAGATTTGTTCACAGTGACTGGCTTTGAAAGATGGTTTTGGGCCAGGGATTTAGCTCAATGGCACCCCTGGCAAATGCAAGGTCCTGAATTCCATCCCCTGTACAGAAAGAAAGAAAGAAAGATAGAGGGAGAGAGAGAGAGAGAGAGAGAGAGAGAGAGAGAGAGAGAGAGAAGGAGGGAGGGAGAGGGAGAGAGGGATAGAGATGGCTTTGATGATGGGCATGATGCTGCACTGCAGCCCCAACTGTGGGCTGAGTGTCCCTGAGGCCTGGAATGCGGAGACCCAAGGGAAGAAGCCTGGGTGAGTGGGGCGCTGTCCGTGGTGCTGAGGAGCCGGAGGAAGGACCAGCATATGGGCCAGGGCTGGGGACTTCCGGCGGCGGGGGAGGAAGAACTGGCCTCCAGGAAAGAGGGGTGGCAAAAGGATCCTTTGTGTGGCCAGATGAGCTGAGAGGGGCCGAGGAGGACTGCACATCAGCTCTGTGTCTGTGCCGATCACTATTCCGGGCAGGCAGGGCAGAGAGAGCGAGCAAGGGTTGTCGTAGCTCAGTGAGCACCAGCACAGGGACCATGAAAATGGCAAGGCCTCCAGGTGTGTGTTAGGGCCTATCAGCAGGGAGTTCCAGGAGACTGTGCTCCATCTGAAGTCAGGCTGGAGCCCCAGGGCTGAGGCTGGTAGGGCAGCCGAGAGCTCAGCCTCATGCGCAGGGACGCGGCCCTGAGGCACACACACTTGCTAGTTAGGAAGAGGCTCCCAGAGCCGGGCCTGCATTTGCTACCACAACAGGTTGACTCCTGACCTGCAAGGAAGGTGTGGCGTGCTGGATGGTGGGGAGGTCTGGCTGTGTGACCGTCCAGGGAGGTCAGTGCCTCAAGGCTGCCTTGGCACCCGGCTGTATTCTGAGAAATAATCCGGTTCCCTGACTGTGCCTGTTAGATTTGACAACCACTCACCCTGGGCCAGCGCTGTCCTGGGGACTTTAGCAGATTACCGCATGGAAACCCCTCAGCTAGTATTCAAACTTGGCTATATTTTGTCTCAAGCAATTCCACGGCAACTCTGTATTGCACATTATTATCCCTTAGGACAGGGGGCTCTGCACAATGTGTAAAGTGTTTCACACTTGATGAGAAGGCATCAAACACAGGGCGCTGCTGGGAATATCCTCAAATCCAGAACACGCTCATTTCTACTCAAACCAAAGCCCTCGACCACCCACAGGTTGGCAGAAGCTTTGAGATATGTCCACGTGGAGTCATTTGGGACGTAAATGAGTGTTTGTCTTCTCTCATTTTGGAAACTAAAAGCAGTGTCACTGATGCATTTGACAGGTTTTCAGAATCCAGAGTTGAAGGGTCACTTCCCATGGCTACGGAGCACCCGGAGGGCAGAGGCTCAGAAAGCCTGGGCCCCAGGAGAACGTCACGGGGAGGAACACAGAGGGACGGAGAGCACGAGGAGTCGGAGCCTCAGGTCTAGACTCCACCTCTGCCCTGCGATGTGGCCCTGCCATAAGCTGCTGACCCAGGACTTGCCTCAGTTTACTTCTCTGTCCAGGAGCAGTCGGGGCTCAGCTGACGGGAGATGTGCGAGTGACCTTACAGCCCAAAGAAGCTGGGGGCACTGTTATCCTAACAACAGATACCGGAGGATTCCAACAAAGTATTATCTACAACCTTGGCTTAATGAGCTTTACACTTCAGAGGAAATGGAACAGACTTTTAGGAAAATATAAAGAGTACTAAATTTAACCGAAGTATTAGAAAAGCATGAATAGACAGGTAACCACAAAAGACATGGAAAAGCTGTTAAAAGATCCAACATCTGTCATTAAGAGGTGTCAGGCCTAGATGATTTTTAAAGGAAAGCTGCATCGAACCTTCAGGGAATAGATGATTTTTACACTAAGTAAAATTATCTCAGCACTCTGAAAGAGATTTGTAGGATCGCAATCATTGTACAATTTCCATAATACCAAAATATGATACAGAAAATATAAACCAATCTAGTTTATGGCTGTTAATGGAAAAATTATAAAACAAAATATTAAGAATCTGCAGCACCATATTCAAAAATAGTTCTCTAGGACCAACTAGGGTTTATTTCAAGTGATCAGAGGCAACCTAAAAATATAAGACTTTAGAAGTTATATCATTGGTGGGAATATAATTGATAAAACCACTATGGAAATCAGCATGGAGATTCTTTAAAAAATTAATAATATCCAGCTATTCCTCTTTTGGGTGACTCCTCAAAGAGTTAAAAACATAGCACAGTGATGTATATGTACCCATGTTTATAGCAGCCCAATCCACAATCGCTTAAACTTGGAATCAGCCTGTGTCCAGTAAGAGACGACTGGATAAAGAGACTGAGGTATTTATATACAATGGAGCACTACTCTGCCATTAAAAAAGATAAACGAGGCATTTGTAGGAAAGTGGATACACCTTGAGTTAAGTAAAGCAAATCAGACACATAAGCTTATACAGCGTATGGTTTCCCTTATATAAAACAATTGAATAGGAAAGAGGAGTGAAAAGAGCAAGAAAAAAGTCCCTATATTCTAAGGATGTTTCTGTTGCTGGTCTCTGGTTTCACTCATGTGGTGTGAGGGCTTCCTGTTCAGGATTTATACTTCTTTGAATAGGTTAAGGTCTTCATTGATGTTGTGAGTATGGTCTACTTTGAAAGAAAGAAAAGTAAGTTCTCAGAATAAGAAAATCGAGGAAGATAGAGAGTAGTTCAGTGGTTACCTTGATTTAGGGGGAAAGACCAAGACGGTTGGCAGGTAGAGTGTTTAGATCTGGGATGGTAAACGGAACTGTGGTTGTGGCTGCACAGCTCCCCAAGGCGCGGGGGTCCATGGAATCCACATTTTAAATTGGAAAATTGTGTGGTATGGAGGTGTCTGGTTTAATAAAGTATTTTATTAAAAATTATGAACTAATAAATATATATATATTTTTAAGTTAGAAGTTGAACTGTGAAAAAATAGACAATCACATTATTGACAATAACTGCTGAGTGTCTCGGGATGAAGTCCACATGAAAGACACAAGGCTATAGAAAGAAATCTCTACAGAGCCGTTACAGTTATTAGACAAGACTGGGATAAATGGAGAGCAGTGTGCCGCTCCTGGATTTAAGGGTTCCATTTCCAAGGACAGAACCTTTTTCAAGTTGTAATAAACATAAAATCCGAATAAAGATCTCAGTAAATCTTGGGGGGATCGTTAGACATATCGATTTGAATGCTGGCATTGAAAAAAAGGTGGAGAGTTGATGGGAAATTTTGAGAAAAGGGTAACAGCAAAGTTTTCAACTGGCAAGATGGAAACTCGTTCGGATCAGAGTGGCAGAGCCAGGGTCGGACAGGTGTCAGTGAGGAGCAGGTCCTGCGGGGACCGAGCCGTGACGCCGGGAGACCCCCGTGTTACAGCATCATTAAGCGTCACAGAAAGTCAGGGCGGCCTTACAGGCAACGGGGGGTCAGCAACTTCCTAAGCAGCACGGAGTGTCCTGGTTTCACTGAGGAAAAGTCTTCCTTCCCTCTTGATCATCAGCTTTCAAACACGGGCCCCTGCGTCCTCCATCTCAGCACACAGAAACTGCCCTTCCAGATGCAGAGGCCTGCACAGCTTCCTGTCCCCCACCCATAAACCACCCAGGGCTCTGTGCTCAGTCCTGACCCAAGTGACCACAATGCCTCACCTCCTGGCTTGGGCTGCCGTCTCCTCTTGCACGGATCCCTATAACCCCCTCTGATTCTGCCCTTGGTCATCTGTCTCTGAGAACGCTCTCGTCTAAAGGTACAAATCAGATTGAGGCACAACTCTCAAATGGCTTCACAATGTCAAAGCAACCTCACAATGGCCCCCCTCCTACTTTCTCTGACCTCCCCCCTTGACTCTTCCTTGCTTGCTGTGCTCAGAGCCACAGGCCTCCTCCCTTTGCTGTGAATGCGGCAGACCCATTTGTGCCCCGGGGCCTTTGCACTGGCTATTCTTGTCCCTACCTAAGGGTGTTTAATAAAATTTGTGAGCCCAGTTCTATATCTCCTACCTTCTCCCCCTGCTGGTTTTCTGTTTACTCCTTGTCTTTCTCATCCTAAGTAAATTCACGGAGGTAAAGGCTCTGGTGTGTTTTCTGCTGAATCCCTAAGGGCTTGGAACCGAAGCTGGTGTACAGGCGGACCTGATATTTGTGCAAAGAAAGAATGAATAACCAACACCCACACAACAGAGAAGGCACACACAGTAAGGGAGGTGGCATGTCTCTGCTCTCTGCTGTGGGCAGCGACCCTGGCTCTTATGTTGGCCAGGATGCAAAGAAATAGACACTATGATTCTGATGTAACAGATGCAAATATTGACAATATCCATAAGAATAAGGTTTCCTGTGCCATAAAAAGTTCCTAAGCTTCAACTTAGTGCTGCTCCGCTTTCAGGATTGTCCTTAAGGAAATATAATAAGAACACACGGAATTATGACCATTACAGGACTACTTAAAAAATTAACAAAATCTGTATGTTGTGGTGGTGCACACCTGTAATCCCAACACTCTGGAGGCTGGGGCAGGAGGGTCACTGTGAATTTGAGGCCAGCCTGGGCTACATGGCAAGTCCCTGCCTCAAGCCCCCACCCCCCAAAATTAACAAAAACTTATGGAAATAAAAATGGGCAATA